GATACATGTTATTTGAAGGCAACTGTTAGAATTTCGAAAACAACATCCATTTGGAATTACTTCTGTTCGGATTGTCTTCAAGAATGTTCAACTGTTAGTTTTACTGTTACACCATCTTCAGTAGCAGCACCATCTTTGCCTTATGCATATATAACTAAAACATTTGTTGAATCACTTTCTATACCATTACCGTCAAACTGGTCAACTAATTGGCTATATGAAGTTCAAAATAATTTTGTTTCACTTGAAGTTGTATGTGAATCAACTCAAGTAGAAAACTATACACAACAAGCATCACTTAGTCTAGTTGATGTTCTTTCAAATGTTGGTGGTCAAACAGGATTATGGATTGGAATTAGTTTCTTATCAGTTATGGAATTTATAGAAATGCTTTATCGTATTCTTCGATATGAATTTCACATTATTCGAAGAGCTATAATAAATAAATTATACATGAACAACACATAATCAAATAAAATGAAAGTTTTCATATTGACTATCTCTCTCGATTATTGAAACGTGATATAATAAATAAAGAGTTTAAATGTTAAATTAGATGGTGGGCTCTGTTTCAAGTACTCCTATCTTGAAAGATTTTAAAAGATGTAATTTCTTTATTATATATAAACAAAGAAAACTAAAAAGAATTTACTTGTTAAGTTATTAGTCGATAAAGTCGATGTTTCATTACAAAAAATAAACCAACAATTTACAACACTTGTTCAAATTAACATTTTAAGTTTCGATGCAAATTTTCGGATAATCATATTGATAATCATCTTTGTACAGATATCCTTGTAGAGAACACATAATCATTAATCAAAGCTATCAGCAAGTCAAACTTGAATGGCAGACTTTTTAATTTTTCAAATCGATTAAGTTTCGTCACTTAACATTTATTTATCAGTATAGTTTCAGTTATTCACTTAACTTATTTCTATCAACATGAAATAATAAGAAGTTTTTACATAAAATAGTAAATCAAACAGGGGAAGAAAGGGAAAAAATTTTCAACTAAAGTTTTTTTCACAACTAATATCCTCTAAAATCCTTATGAATGTAAATATCAATCTTCCAGAGTATGTCTCATATGTATGTGGCTTCATCACTTAGTGGAAATTATATGTATTTTGCTGATTTCATCCAATCTCATGAATATAAGATAAGACACGATATTTTTTTGTAAACCTTACTTCTTTCAAACAATCAGACTAAATAAACCAAATAATCTAGAACCAAATATGTTGAGAGATATTATACAGTCGAAGAGTTTCTTTAGAACTCTCAAATTTGATGCAAAAACTCTGTGAATGGCAATTACCCAGATTTTGGTCTTTTCCAAAAAAACGAGTGACTGTTTCTGTGCTTGATTACATATTTTTTGTTGGCTATAATGATAGTTGGATGGAATCTGTTTTCGTATCAAAATAGTTAGAAAAGTTATACTTAGTTCAACTGACCCAATCGAAAAGTAAGCATTGAGATATTCATTACTAAGAAAACTCTATCAATGCATATCAACATGCTTCAAAACAATACTACTAATTGATAATTTAATTATCTAAGTAGTTCATTATCTATCATCAACTATACTCTTCTCTGTAATGTACCATCTTAGTTACTCAATCAAAATGGTAGTTATTTTTTTTATTCTGTTGTTGTTTTAAATATCTCGAGTTAGGAAAAAAAACGGCTCTTCAAAATGTTTACTTTTTTGGAGTAGCCATTTGTTAGCAAAAATAACTTTGTCCGAAGGATCAGAGAAGACATTTCTCTTGTTGGCTTTTGAAATTTTATTTTTACTTTAGACACAAATAAGACTCTCCTACTATATATAAGACGTGCTCTGTTGAACAAATTACTGAAAATTTGTAAAAGTACTATTAAATTTATATTAAAAAGAAATATTTATCATTTAAGAAAAAAATAAGTTGCTGTGTATTTTCGTTATAGGGCACCTATTAATAAAAATAGTGAAAAAGAATTCATTTGAAAAATTAATTGCTTTTTTCATCCAAACGCGCCTATAATATTAAATAAACAAAGGATCTGAAATGAGACGCTCCCAATCAAAACATATTGAACATGGTCATTTTGATTTGTTCCTTATGAAGAACTTGTAAGAAAAAGAAGACGAGTTTTTTAAGTAAACGATATGATTGTTCTTATTATTCCTGTCGAAATAAGGCAATCATAGCCACAGTGATTTTATCTTTGCTTCTCCAAGTATTCAAATGAGCTATAGCATTTTTGGTGCTACGAGTGTATTAAGGGGAAATTATTTTTACATCGGACAGACAAATGATTTTCATCTGACATAGCTTGAAGACGCTTGTCAGTTAGAATGTCCGGCAAATATGAACGATTGCAGAGACAACAATCTTGAGTGTCAACAAATCTTTTTCTCTTTACATAATTATTCCAGGTGCATGAAAACAGCTATTCTGTTCTTCAATTATATGTGAATGTTTTTTCTGAAATCTCTCTTATTACGATTTTTTTAATGTTTGCTTTATTGATGAAATTTTTTATTGAATAGCTAAACTATTTTTCATCGAGTGAGAAACACAAATAATGTTGTTGCCTAAGAAAACTATGAAATGCACTTGTAGTGTAAATAGACAGTACAAACAGAAAAACTACAATGAAAATTAGTTTGCACAATGAGAACGGATCAGATTTCTTATAGACTTTGACAAAGAATGTATAGTTTATCATAAATATCAAAGGTGAAGATGCTAGAATAATGAATGAAAGATGGTGTTGGTTAAACTTCGATAAAAGTACTTCTCATTGCTATGTCAAAATGGGTTTTCGACGTGAAAAACTTACAATATGCTTATAATCGAAGAATTTTATAAATTGAAATATTTTATTGATTATGTTATGTTATAATATAAACTGCTTCGTTTTAGAAGTTTCCTTGAAATTTTTTTCTGTATTGTAGAACAAAAGTTGTCAATGAAGTCTTATTTTTCTAATTTAAAAACGGACTATTTTCGCTAATTTTAGAAAAACAAACTTGAGATGTAACTGAAATTTTTTTATAACTCAAATATTGAGGATTGATAATTTAAGTACAGTGATAGTGAAACAGTCACAGTAAATGAACACAAGGCGCCTACAAGGTTTTGACTACAGAACGAGATATATGTAGACTTGTAGACAAAAACTTTCTCTTTCTAATGACGTACATATTATCAGATTCTACTGTGTATTACTGACATGTTAATAGATGACGCCATCTTGGCCATGACTACGGAAGAATGCGCCAAAGGTAACGCCATCCATCAATATATTAACAGTACATCGAATAGAACTTGATAACGCATACACTATTAGATAGAGGAAGTCGTTGTGTAGAAGTCTTTCCTTTCCACATTATTGAATATTCATTTACATCTTCAATGAAAGTAAATTAATTATGAAAACAAACACAAGTTTATCTATCAATTTTTTTTAAGAAGATTGATTTGTATTGAAGAGAATTTTTATTTTTAATTAATAAACGAACACGAATAACATTCTACTCTGCCTAAATGACTTATTTACCAATTATTAATATTGTTAAATCCCTCCTCCTACTCAGAAATCCTAATTTTTGTCCAGTACATCGGTTTTCAAATGTTGCACCTGCTGTTAAACTCACGAACCATGTTTAACAACTTACATCAACCGTATAATAAATTAAATCGCTTATTTTCATATGTAGTCATAACAATTTCAGTTTTGTTTTAAATATGAGACTAATGAATATTTTTTTAAATTTCAATTACCAATCTTCATTATAACGAAACCTTCGAATGATGGTAGAAACTATGGTCTTATCAGTATTACTACTGGAACTTGTTTTTCTTATCGAAAAAAGAAACAGATTATTTACTTCAAAATCGTCATGTTTTGGAGTGAATTGAAAACTCATGTAACTTTTTACTAATGTGTGAGCGAATATTATAAGACTCCAATGTTTACAGAATCACGATACAAAATAAGATCCTGAATTATGCGCCAAGAATTCGAAAAAAAATTCCGAACGACTACTAACAGTGCTTCACATCTTCATAACTATTCAAGAGTTCCGTTTCAAAATGGTGTAGTTTCAAGAAAATAGTATTGTATTTAAGCCAAATCATTACAATAAAGTCCAGATTGATTATTAAATAAATATCAACCAGGTTTTTGATAGATCTAGAAATTGAGCTCTAATCCTAAACAACATCTACATCTTTCAATTATTCGAGAATTGAGTCTTAATATATCGCCTCATTTTATTTTTCGTAATCCATATAGCCAATGCCAACATAATCGAATCGTTCGTACTATTTCATTATTGATTTACTCGATGACTAAAACAATGTTAATTGGTTTTTACTCATTCAAACACAAGCATACATATCAAATGTTGTCAAATAATCACAAGCATTTCCTGTAGCTGTTTTGATAATTATTTTCCACGCTGATATGCTGTTTTACTCGGTCTTTCTTTGAATAAACAAATACAAAAAACATCATCAATACTAAGAAACCGAATAAGCATATTTATTTATTGAACAGACTCAATTAATTCGTCATTTTATTTTTTATGAATTCAATTAAAATAAGTCAATAGATGAATATCTTTTACCTCTTGAAATACAAATGATGATGATGGCTTTGATAAACTTATATCACGTATTTATCCTCGTTATCATTAGTTTGTTGTGTGTGTATAATACGATTAATAAAAATATAGTTCTTTTTATACTTAGATTTTTCTGGAGGAAAATAATAACCCTGATTCACTATAATACACGTTTAGCTCGAATTGATGTAAATGAAATTCAACTTGTATTTAGATGAAACCATAGATCATTTTTAAGAAAAAGACAAATTAGTCCTTATCTTCACCTTAAAGAAAATCTACGAAGGAAATAATAGTACATGTAAACACATTTCATTCATCAAACACTTATGAAAAATATGGCTGTGTTAGTCACTTGCAATAATTCACGCATTCTCAAATGCAATGTGCTACGACGAAAAATACTGGAAAAACTCTACATTATTTACGAAATACGTGTTACTCAGAGAAAACAGTTCGAATAAGAAATATGAAGTGTATTTGCAATCAATTTTCTTTCGATTGTACTGAAGAATATCCATCTGCTAATATTCCTTGCTACACAATCATCAGTAGCAGAATTATCTCTTTGCTTTGCATATTTAACTAAAGAATTCCTTGAATCACTTTATATTCCATTACTGACACACTGCTCAACAAATTATTTTCTGAAGTTCAAAATAACTGTGTTACCATTGATGTTACATGAAATTCAACTAAAGTAAAAACTAATTCGCAAGAGCCATCAGGCAATACTATCGATGTTCTTTGAAATGTTGGTGGTGATAGAGACTTATATATCTGGAATAGATTTTTATTAAATAATTGAAATTTTCTTAGGTGACAGATATGTCTAAAAATTGCAATT